GCGGGGCCTGAGAGGTGAGCGTGGGTCCGCCGAGCGCTTCAGCCGGGCGGGGCCTGAGAGGTGAGCGTGGGTCCGCCGGGCGCTTCAGCCGAGCGGAGCCTGAGAGGTGAGCGTGGGTCCGCCGGGCGCTTCAGCCGGGCGGGGCCTGAAAGGTGAGCGTGGGTCCGCCGGGCGCTTCAGCCGGGCGGGGCCTGAGAGGTGAGCGTTGGTCCGCCGGGCGCTTCAGCCGGGCGGGGCCTGAGAGGTGAGCGTGGGTCCGCCGGGCGCTTCAGCCGGGCGGGGCCTGAAAGGTGAGCGTGGGTCCGCCGGGCGCTTCAGCCGGGCGGGGCCTGAGAGGTGAGCGTGGGTCCGCCGGGCGCTTCAGCCGGGCGGCCCGCAACAACAGAGCGGTGCCCGTTGTTCACCGAATGTGCGGCAGAAACCGTAAGCGTCGCCCGGCCAAGGAAGTAAATCGCCGTTTTCTCAACCGGAACGGCTTTGACGGCGACCCCAATTTCCCGCACTGGGCCACATTTGTCACAGGCGGGACGGGGTCGTAAAATTATCACGACACTTAAACACGATAAATTCAGTGATATTCAGGCGTTACATAACTGGCGTTCTCCTAAAAGACCATTGCTATGCAAAGTCCCTACGTGCCTTGCGCTGCACCGCCGTAAAGCAAGGCAGCATAAGAACTTTTTTAGCTGAACAAATTATAGGACGGACATCGACGGACAGCATTTGCCACCTTAGCAAACGTCGAGGGCGCAGGTTGCTCCCGTTGCCTCTCCGGTAGTGCTGCCCGTGGACGCCTGATGCGGACTCAGGGTTGGTATGCGCGGCTTTTGCGCCACCACGAGCAAGATTGTTACGACTTTGATTGAAAAGAGGGGAGCAAACGGATGAAAGTGTGTCTTTTAGGCTGCATGAGCGATATCTTGTTTCGATCCGTCCCCGAGTGGTGCGCGTGGGAAACATCCGTGACCCTTAAAGATTTCCAGGGCACCGTTAACACCGTAAACATGGAATGACGCAAAGTCTGGGAAATTTCCAATACTTTTTCCTCCGATATGAGGTCAATATTTTCCTCGCGGGGCAAGATTTCAAACTTCCTCCAAAATCCTGCAAGTTTGGACCAAATGCCAGCGAAATTAACCAGTTTCTAGAGTAAATCTCTTGATTGAGAGGCCATATTCCCCTAAGGTCTATGCTTTGCTACCTGCCTGCATTTTCTTTATTTTAGTTGGGCATGTTTTAGGCTAGGTCAAGTAATATTTAAAGAAACAGTTAATTTTTACTGTTTTAATTCGCTTCGAAACTTATCCCGTATCAAACTACCATACTGGACTACATGAATCTACCGCTTTAATAAGTTTGGGGGGTGAAAAGATAAAACATGCTGCCAATGTGTCTGATTGGCAATGATAGAGGAAACACGGACTGAGTGACTCCGGAGAAGTGCTGTTAAGTTAGTTTTTGCCAGTCCGGCCAAGCACTGGTGGAATGCTTCCTGAAAGCCATTCCGCTACAAGTTAGAAGACCGACAAAATGTTCAAAATAAAAACATAGCTGCTAAATGCACATGTGCAACATAACGGGATGCTTTTGCAACATTCGCAAAGCCTGTCCGTACCTGAACAAGGGGCTATACGTTTTAGACTTAGGCAGTGACTTAGGCAAATTAGACTAAGTCTTTCCAATTCCTCGCGTGAGGTAATGAATAAATAAGATATCATAAATGAAGCCGTCATCCGAAGCACCTAGGTACAAAATGTCTCAAGTGTGCAGTGAACAGGAAATATTGTTTGCAAATTTGCAGGCCTATGTCTATTTGCATTTTAAAGCTACTGCAAAAACACAACAGTGGACATGATAATAATACATGGTCATTGACGTAGAGCGAAGAAAATTTGAAACGCACCTGAGCAATTAAATACATTGCGTTGTAGAATGCACAGTGCAGTTTGATACCAGTTTTCATCTTTTTCCTAAAAGCATGTGCAATGTCCGTTCACAAAAATAAGTAATAATGGTGCCAGCCACTTTATAATGGCCAAATCACCTTCCAATCCGGCCTTAAAAGCCAGGCATGGAGGCACGGAGGACATCTTTTATGCTCTGCCAGTATAGGAAAGTACCGCTGCGCGGTGTTTTGGATTTCCTAGTGGCAGCGTGCAAGTCTCTGTACTAATGTAATTTTGCCAATGTCAGGGAGCTTTATTACGGTAAAACTTGCAGGTAGGAGCCCCTTAGTGAAACTCTGTGCATATAATATAGTTTCCCCTCCATGAAGGTTGCTGGGATAAGGAGGATTGTCCCCTCCTATCCGCTAATGGTAGAACGTCCCCGTTCCCACATTGGCGTTTTCCCTGGTAGCACATGCACTGCAATTCAATTTTAGTTGTCATTTCCCCCCCCCAAAAAAAACGTATGAAAAACGCATGGCTGCAGACACCCGTGATTATCCTATCACTTTCTTATCCAGCTTTGAACTCTAAGCACGCAAGGCATTGCATGTGCTCAGCCAGTATATGGGAATGTCGCCGAGTGACCATTTGAAGTCCTAGAAGCATTACATTTGTTTTGTACCAATATCATCTTATCGATGTGAGGGCTTCATTATGGTCAAAAGTTAAATATGGTCCCCTTGGTGAGAATCCATAAGGATTTTTTTTTCTTGCGCGGAAGTTGTAAGGACAAGGGGGTGTTATCACCCCTATGCGCGGATAGAGGGGACGCGTCGCCGTCATTCCAGCAGGTAACAGGAGTGCCTCGCCACGCGAAAACAGAGCCAGAGGAGGACGCGCAGAGCCTGCCCGAGGCGAGGCAGGAGGAGAGCGGGCGGACTTTACGCCAACGCTATCCGACGCGACGCCCGAGCTCTGGTCTCGGGGCAAGTCGCGGCCCAGCCCTGAAAGTAGGACCGGCCAGCCCGGCAACGCATTGAACGGAGTGGCCATTCCGGCCAAACCATTGGGCCATGCGAAAAAACGAGGGCGGGCCGACCCAGTTACAAAAAATGCGATAGCGCACTCGCGCCCGGCGTGGGTGTGCATTGTGAGCGAGGCCAGTTTATCCAATTTATTTTCCAGCTCGTCGGTTTGTCTGTTTCTCGTTTCCTTAATCTTTCCTGATGGCTTGGAACGGTAGAACTCGCAGCCAAACCCCGTCCAGCACACGTACGTGGGTTTTTGTTACAATTACGCTTCTCTCCCATTTTTTATTGGTTGCTTGATCCAGCTCGCAATGTTTCCGCCAAACTGGCAGATCCCTTTCTCAATTCGCATCCGGCTGCCCCTCTAACGAGGGACGCATGACGCGGTAACGGTAATGACTGTGAAGAGTGATAGACGTGGGACACGTCCGAGCAGTGCGGCTCGGCTGCGGCCAGGATTGTGACGGAGCCAGGCGACCGCAGTTCTGCTCTTACGCAGATCAATGTTGGACGGGTAGGCACGACTCGAAAGCACGGTTTCGTTCTTTGTTGTGTTAGGAGACGGTAGACCCGTTCGTTTGTCCCTCACTTGACCTCAGGCGTGACGCCATGAAGGGGAGAGGGTCGCAGTATGGCCAGGGCCAGTTGGGATCGCCCGGGATACCGGGTTATGCACGGCGGGGGCTGAGTCTATCCGTCGGTATACAAAGCCTTGGGGGAGAACAGGACACAGCCTGTTCTCTTTTGACGTGGTGTACACTGTTCGTATAATCGTTTGGTGGCGGGATTTTCGGTACGAATACAGATCCCGCTATCGACGCTTACTGGAAGGACGACAAAGGATAGAAACGTCAGACAGACCGGTCAGGCCAAGTCTTCAGAGTGCGCCGGCCGTAGAGACCGTAAGGCAGGGAGTGGTCACACGCAGGTCATGCCGGGCGCTCGCCGTCTTCCGATGGGATCCACCATTCCATCAGGTGCACTGTCTACCCGCAGGGCTCTGAGGGACGCGCCGTGGGGTGGTGCCTTGCAAATCTAACTCCAGGAAGCAGAAGGGTGAGGGCGCAGAAGCACCGGAGGCGGCGTCTCCGTACTGGATAGGATGTTGCCGAATGCCTGTGCGCGACAGTGGGAAGCTGCGAGCGGTGGGCGTGGCCGAAGGAGTGGTGGGCCGCTCCATCGTAGGACAAGACGCGAGCGAGCATCGTCCAATAGGGAGTCATCGCCTAAGAGGCCAGACGAGGGAGCGAGTCGTCGTCCAGCTATGGTACGCCCGATGCCGGCCCAGTAGCCGCGTCGGTGCCAAGCTGATGGGAAATTGGCCTGATATGTTTTAAATAGGGCATAAACAATGCTTCATTAGACGCTGGAAATGAGCGAAATGCAATTTCATTCAGCCCAACGAGGAATCGCGCAGACGAGCCAATTATAATTCTAGGCAGCTGACTAAGGGATGTGTGGCAAAAGGGGAGAAGAGTCCAACCCTTGTGCGGACCAAGAATGAGTGGAGTGACATAGGCACCTGCGGATGTATCTGTTTGGGAGTGAATGTGGTGGGACGCCGAATGCATGAAGTCTGTGTGAAATAGATAAGAACAACGGGCTTCCAGGCTTTGATATCCAGCGGGCCCCTGACAAAGTAATTCGCCGGTTGCTTGGAATTCCTGCCTGTTTGGGCGTACCATGGGATTCAGGACGGTTAGCTTTCTCAATGCATCTGGTTCCGTTTTTGCCCCATGTTAATGTTATCACCAGCCGAACGGCGGAGGTGGGATACCGTGGTTAAAGGTTTGCATCCACGTACGGGAAGACAGCCGTTCATGGTGCCTGACCGGACCTGCCATCCCGCCAGCACGCCGGTCATCCGCTTCATCCTAGCTCTGTGTCTTACGCGTGTGTGTTGATGTCGGGTTTGCCGGAGTTGATGCGTGCTGAGTCGCGTGTGTTGATGTCGAGTCTGCCGGAGTTGATGTGTGCTGAGTCGTGCGTGTTGATGTCGGGTCTGCCGGAGCTGATGCGTGCTAAGTTGTGTGCGTTGATGTCGGGTCTGCCGGAGCTGCTGCGTGCTAAGTTGTGTGTATTGATGTCGGGTCTGCCGGAGCTGCTGCTTGCTGAGTCGTGTGTGCTGATGTCGGGTCTGCCGGAGCTGCTGCATGCTGAGTCGTGTGTGCTGATGTCGGGTCTGCCGGAGCTGCTGCATGCTGAGTCGTGTGTGCTGATGTCGGGTCTGCCGGGGATGATGCATGCTGAGTCGTGTGTGCTGATGTCGGGTCTGCCGGAGCTGCTGCATGCTGAGTCGTGTGTGCTGATGTCGGGTCTGCCGGAGCTGATGCACGCTGAGTCGTGTGTGCTGATGTCGGGTCTGCCGGAGCTGCTGCATGCTGAGTCGTGTGTGCTGATGTCGGGTCTGCCGGAGCTGCTGCACGCTGGGTCGTGCGCTGAAGTCATCTGGCTTTTACGCTGACTCATGCGCTCCTCGTTATAAATTCGCTCATGTGAGGAGGCGTGATAGCGGCAGCCGGGCGGGTGCGCTGTGCCGCGCGGTAGTGCAGCGCAGCACACCCACCCGCATCCCATTACAGAACCCCCCCCCCCCCCCACCTAACGCGTGACGAAGAGGAGTCTCGTACCTTTGACCAAGTTGAGTCTGAATGAAATATGGCTAGGTCAGCTCGAAGTCAAATGTGGGCATTTTAACGAAATATAGTCGACAGAAAAGACCCTAACATAGTGAATGCACAAGACTTTCGAAAGTTGAAGCTGCGAAATATTCCAAAACTACACGGTATCCAATGAACAAATAACTTTCTAGTTTTGGCATCGTTCTTGGAGTAAGCGTTGCTCTAATGTGCGCTACATTACCAGGCTGGAAGTACCTAACCGCCCCACGCACCAAACTAAATTATAACGTTGGTTCCTCATACAGGACTATCAGTAATGTCGTACCTGCATGTGCACTTACCTTGAGTGTAACGCAAACGTTGGGTATCGGAATATTTGGTTGCTGGCGTTAGAAAGGATTCGGGTGACCTTGGATTCACTTGGCCAAGGAGACATTTGGCTAGAGAAACAATATGATGGAAGGGGGGTGGGGGGAGAGGGCTTATCGGCAGAGCTGTTCACCAAGCAGGTGTAAGCACCGGCCCTTTGTGCTACGGCTGAGATGTTGCTGACTTCAGACCTGCCTGGCTTTGTACCCGTGGATCGGCACCGTCCCAGCCAACAGCGCCGTGATCCCGAAGCCGCCACGCCTGTCCACGGCTGCGGGCCGAGCAGCGGGTGTCTGTGCGCCACGGGACGTTGTCTACCCGGCTTCGTGTTGCTGGCGCTGGTGATGGTGCCAGGACGACATGGTCGTTTGACTCACAACAAAACAAACAAATAAACGATGCCGTGAACAGGAAAACTTTTTTTCCCGGACCACTCCTGCCTCGAGCGCTGTACTTTACCCCACACTACGGCTGGGAAGGCACCATTATGCAGCTGCGTTCCAGGTGTGTATTGCTCATCCGAAGAGCACTGAAAATTCGAACCTCTCACAAGGGGAATCGAAATCCGGACCCTGAAAGTCCCCCGAAATGCTCTCTCCAGTGAGATAATGAAAGCTCAACGTTTTTGGTTCCTAACTGCTGATACAATATCTCACATTTCCAGCGTCGTCAGATAAACAATACCATCTACCTGGGTTGCACAATGCGGTCCCTCACAGCCGGAGTATGAAAAAACGCGCAACGTTGCGTCTACGAACATACACCAAAATCTTCATGAGAACTTCGGCCTCATGAGTCAGGAAGACTTCCGTGCAGATGCCTATGCCTGCATCTGTATTGAGGGTATCGGCCCAGGAGGCCTACTCCAGGAAAATCTTCTGCGTGGAATACTCCGCGCGGAAGGCCCACTGTCGGAAAGGCCTATTCCTCGAATGCCACCGCTTCAGACATGATCTAGGAGAGCCTGCCACTTTGAAGGCTTTCAGCCGGAAGGCAGACACGCTGACCTACGTTTAGAGGACCTACTTTTGAAAGACCTATGCCATGGACACCTATCGTGATGTTGTCTTCGTTGGTCATGTCTTTCCACTAAGGTTTTTCGAACGTAGATGTCAAATGCAGGAAATCTTCGGAGAGTCGGTATCTCAGGAGCATGTCTTCCAGGCTACAGCTGCTCAGAGCAAAAATTCCGGGAGCAGTTCTTCCAAGCGCAGGTCCTCCGAGCGAAGACATTCACACACTCACAGCAGTGGGTCTCCCAGGCGTCGCTTTCAGGGCATAGGGCTTCCGAGTGCAGGTCTAGTGTCAAGCAGACATTCTGAGCGTCGTTCTCCTCCACCCCCCCCCCCTCCCCCCTACCCACATTAGGCCATGACTTTACTGCTCATGTGCCGGAGACAGGGACAGTAGGAAAAGCGTCCCCGGCTACATTGTCCGGTGTTCGCAGAACGCACCGGGTGCGGGAGGGGGTGTGTAGCATGGCCGCCGTCGGCATGATGGTTACCAAACACTAGTTTAAACATGATTAAGCAGTCAACTTGGTCACCGTGCCCCCACACAACATTCGATCCGCAATCTCGGCAGAGATTTTGGTGCCCCGGTATTTGACTACCACATTGCTGCCCTTCTCTACGGTCAGCGGCTAACTAGCAGCGCCGCAATGTTAACTGAGCGATCCCGCCGTGTTCACAACACGCCTTCTAGTGACACTGGTACGGCTCGTGTCACAAAGCTAGCCATGCGGCGCCTGGCGAGCCCAGTGACACTGACACGACCCGTGCCACCGACAGGGCAGAGATAGCCGTGCAGTGTCAGTAATCTTACGATGTCTACTTAGCACTGAGCGTAAGCCGAGCATCTGGTTTTGTTGTATGAATTACCACTTATCATCAGTGATATATTTGAGTCCTCAGGCTCCCGTCATATTTGAGTTATCAAACCACTTGGGGAATTAAAAAGAAATGCAGACTGGGAAATGACCAAGAACATTGCCTGCAGCTTGCCCTAATGTTTGCCACAGTTTCATCTCCGCACGTACATCTTGAGCCAGGAGTTGTGCACTGCGCGATCTGACGTGCATTTTGACTATAAAACACAGCGTAATGGAGGCGGCGTGCTATCAGCTCGTTTTAGGCACCCTGCAACTGTCCTCGGAAGAAATGTGTGCTCCCTTTCAGAAAAGTCTCGAACCACGGCTCAAAGCGTAGAGGGCGGTGCCAAGCAATCACAGTCCCACTTACCCGACTTATAACACAAGGCAATCTGCAGTATTGGTCGGAAATCCCCTGACAAACCTGGGAGACCTTGAAGACCGGTCGCAAGTGCAATCATTAACAGCCGTCCCGTGCTGATAGCGGGCGTCTCCGCTCAACTGAAGGCCTCGTCGGGCGCGCCGCCGGCACGATTTTGGCTGATCTCGAGGTCGGCAGTGAGGCACGAAGGCTCCAGGGCTTGTGGCTACACTAGCGACCTCGAGACGGGCGGGGAAAGCATGCACGACGACGTCTGCCACGGCGCCCTACGGCCAGCGATCGGGGGCCCTGCAGCCGGCCGGCCAGAGCTGCCATCTGCTACTGGTGAACGCTTGGGGCCAACACATCGGAATCACTTTGCAAACACCAGACCCCAAAACCGAAGTGGATCAAACATTTTTTTCGTAGTTAACACTGAGATGAATCAAAACTGTATCAAAGATATGGCTCGCCATTCTAGAACGCAGCATTCAACTGGAGAGCAGCTTGTGTGGCAGGTATCAATAGTACTATATGACTACTACCGAAAGCTTCATAAGCTGAAAGCTCCATGACATGAAATAAACACTTCCGATATTTTCAAATGACATTGAACTAACGAGATTTATCGAGAACATTATATGTCTATATATCGATATATCGGGAGATCATTATCATCCACACTACTCACATTTTACTGCATACCTAGGTGGCATGCAGTCATACACTGAAACGCTGTCAATATAAAAGCGCATACAGTTAGCAGTAGGCAAGAACACAATGCCACCCATGCATATGATGACTTCCAATTATGCTTACATAGCTGGTTAACACAAAAGCACTATCAAAAACCGCACAGGTGAAGTTGTGCATTGCTTTCCATTTTCCGAGACTGGTGGCGGATGCAAAGACTTAGAACATATGGTGCATTAACAAATCAAGCTCGTATGTAGGTGTGTTGCCAAAACTTCCCGAATATAAGGACATGATTCGGTGCTTTCATGATCCAGTCACCTTTTACTGGTTAATAGTCATGCTCTAGCTCTAGCTCTAGCTCTAGCTCTGACCTGATGGCTACTGATGGCCCCAGCTAGCTCTGGCTCCAGCCCCATTGTTTAAAGCGGGTTGGATGGATTCTTCAGCGCAATGTGCATTGCTGATGATGTGTTTTACGCCCAGCTATTAGGAAGCTGAATATCAGCAAGATGGGAGGGGTCGACCAAGTGGTATGTTCCCATTAACTTTCATGTCAACCCGTCGACCTTCATGTGAAGCTCTCTGGAACGACAGTTAGTAGGTGAAAACTGATACGACACTGGTGCAACTCGGAAATAAAAGCATATAGATAGAGGAGTGCATTGCTTCCAAGTCATCTCGTCTTTGGGAGTTGACTGGCATGCGACATGACGTGCTTCCTGAGATCCGATTTTACCGAGATCCCTTTGTTGAGATGAGAACATTAGTTCCCAAGTCTAGACTGCATGGTGGCCGTTTTGTGCGGTAAATAAACGATAACATATCAGCAGAGTGTTAGTTTCTGACGAAATCCCCGTTGAATCGTTGCTTATCGTAGGCTTACGACAATTATAAAGTACAACTTATGCAATCATATTAAACATTTTTATAAATTATTTTCCTACTTAAATTGTAGAATCATAATATGTAATACGCAACTATTAAAAGACGATAGACGTTATTGATCAACCACTTATCTGACCAATGCCAATTTCATATGAGTGCTGCCTTCAAAGCAAATAGGTTTGCATCTACCACACGAAATGGACTCGCTAAAAATTCACAGGCTAGTCTTTGGTTATTTTATAATCAGCTGAAACTCATGCGATGCTTTCCGCTCAAGTAAGCGTGCTGTAGCCTGTGGCCATATAAAACATTGGTATCATTCGAAATTCAGGCAACGCTAAGGGAAAATGCACTCCGCCTCTTCAACGTCGGATCATTGGGCTGCATTAAATTCAACAGATAATTGTTCGCCAACGTTGATTTACGGATGCGCGGACATCTGGCCGGCCTAGTAATCGCAGCAATCAATCGGAATCAATTTGTACTTGGTAATCACGGCAACCAAGTGTAAACGACTCACTGGGTTTCGTCACCAAATTTGTGCAACCGAAGCTTTCAACCTTATGTTCTATCACGGTCATGCACAGTGGCACGTTTGTGAAGTCCGACACCGGCTGTCTACTGGAGTAAGCGAAGATGTAGATTAAAGATAAGCCAGTAGTAATAGCCTTGGTTCCCGGAGATAAACCAAGAGAACGGAGATATAGATACGTTAACATTCCAGCAAAATGATTGTATCGAAACGAATAACAGAACTGAATTTACGTTGAATTCCTAATTAAATTGGTATTCACTTCTCCTATCCGCTTCCATAGCAGCATGTTGCCGAAATTTTAACGCACCTAGATCTCCATTCTCCTTTTTTGAACAAGGAATGAGATTATTACTACCGTGTTATCTGTGTGAATAATGTTCCTTGCAAATGCACTTAACACCTTGCGTAAAGATGTATATGATCTTAATTTGTCTCGCGGAACTTCCCTTGAGCTGTTACATGATTGATCACTTTAGGACAGCTGACATCATATCGGAACCTGAATTCTATTTTTAAATCCGATTGGTTGCCTTGCGCCTGCCGTGACGCATTTGCCTTCATTGAGATTAAAAGACTGAAAATGTCCACCTCTAACGGCAGTGTGGTACAAATGAGTATTCGCCTTTCTTTAGGCGATACTTTATTTGTGTTTCTGGAATTGTAGTGAGTTTTAGAAACATCTCACGATTTGAATCATCCAGTTATTCTAGACTGTCAATGTGCAGCTATCAGTTCATGCCTCCTTTTAGCGGACCTTTTATGTGGTTCATTGGGATGAGGTACGACAGTAGAAACGCTAGGACATTTTGGTGCATGGATTAATCTAAATTAAACTGCATACATGGTCATTTCCAGTTGGAAACTGGCATCACAGTATATAATATGTTATTTCGTACTACAGAAATTCCATAGACCGGGTGCACTTATTACTGCTGTATCGGCACCAACGTTGTTATCAGACAAACGAGGCTGTTCATTAGATGGCAAAATATAACGTGTTTCATGAACATCGTATGCTGAGTTGAACGACAGTCGATGCCTAACCGTTATGCCCCTTAACCTTAAATCGTTCTGAGAGGAAAATTATTTTTCTGCAAATGACTATGCCATCTAAAAGCAGCCCAAGGTTCTTCCTGTTTGATATTTGATTCTTCTATTACAAGAAATATGACTAAATGTGTTCATTCTTTACCACTTATATCATTGTTTCTCAGGCCATTACCATACAATGCAATAGCCATCCGGCACAAAGTAAATGAAACGGCCACCAGCATAGCAAACAATTTTGTCCGACAGAACCATTGAAAAATGCCTCTGTCGGGCAAAAATCAAATATTAACAAACAGCCGTAGAAAGCATCACTAGACTGACATTGGTAAGAAAACGGTCACAGTGGTATTTGGGAAAAGCTTAAACATGTCACCAAAGAAAGCAGCCCCATTAGCAAGCTGGTGTATGCTTTTACGATGCTAAGGCTACTCAATACTCACCGAAATAATTAACCCAAGTAAATCATGAGTAGTAACCATCGAATAAAATAAACATCTACGGGCCCTGTTGACATAGTGTTCAACATCTTTTCACTCGATAATTATTATCCACTGTTTACAATGAGCCATACGCACAAAGACAGCAAGGACAAAGAAACCCTATCAGCAAAAGATATGCCTCTCACTCACGTTTCCAACAGCAAGCGGGGCTGCAGAGGCTGACTGCATCCTCAGCATCCTTCCTCCCTATAACTGCCATACTATCACTTGGTTTTTCGCTATGAATTGTAACTACGCCGTGCACTCATAGTTTGTGTGATTGCCTGGCCTTCCGCTCCGTTCCCAAGTCACGAACAACCACGACGCGTCATGCTCTCAAGCGCACCGTGCATGTCCATGAAGACCTGACCCTGAGAGTTGGACCGTATAAAAGCCGCCGCTTCGGCGTGGCAGACACACACCGATCCGCTCCGAGCTTTGTCGCCCTGCTTCTGCAAGAGCAAACATGAACTTCAAGCTTGTGGTTAGTAAAACGGGTCTCTGTGGCCCGGGGGTCTTGGTCGCCGTAGACAAATGGGAGCAATAGTATTGACATGCTCATGGCACCCTTCGTGTGTGTTTCTTCTCCTCTCATCTGAGCAATCCGCTGTCGCTAATAACGCTTCTCATTTCCAGCTGCTGTTCTTGACTATGCTTGTGGCCTTTACGTAATGCGTGTAGAACACTTGAACAGAGTTGCATGCCATGAAGAATAGAATGCGTGTAACGTCTGCATGTATAAGCGCCGAGAAACGAGACGAAATGCCGGGCAGTCGCAAACGTTTGTTATCCTTTCACACGAGTAAGCCGTGGTCGCTAACAACGCCTCACAATTTCAGCTGCTGTTCCTGGCCGTGCTGGTGGCCGCTGTTGCTGCTGAGCCTGGCGGAAGATACAGCGGTGGATCCCGTAGAGGTTATGGCGGTGGATCCAGAGGTGGAC